ACCCACGCAGGAGTCGTACATGAGTTTCTATGAAAGCAATAAACTATGCGGTGTCCTACCGCGCGAATAATTTATTACAAGCATTCACTAACCCAAAAATTCCTTAACATGTCCAAGGCTTTAAAAACATCATACATTCAACATGAATTAAAATCCATACATACGAGCTACAATAGTCGGATTCGAAACACCTGCAAAAACTTATTGCAATTTCTAATCTACTATGCCGTTGCGTCCGTACGCAGATAATTCATGTAGACAGGCAAAGTCCAAAATTCAAACCGTGCACGAGTTTGCATTAGCCTGGGCTCTGATACCAGTTGTTGGGTTCTGTTAGGAACGTCATACAACATGCACAACATTGAACTTTATCGAAATAAATCCTAACGCAGCGGAATCTATAGTTAGGATATGGACGTTTACCCTTTAAAATTTTTGTTGACTCTGAGACGATGTAGAGTACCGTTGGTGAAGTTCGTCTGAACACTACAACCTAATGGGCAGATAGGTTTGGCCTTTAATCTATTCTAATCGATACGTTCCACGAAACTCGATCACACGGCACGCCGGTCTCAGTCGTCGGGTGCAGCAGGCTGATCGTGCGCGTCGGGCGCTGGGCACGGTCCTGCGTGTTGCGGACGGCGTGTGCTGGCAGCTGGCGGCGTGCACTGGTACCTGGCGTGATGCGCGGATCACAGGCGGGCGCGTCGGGCTCTGGGCGTACGCACGGGTTGCTGGGATCTGCGGACGGGCGCTGGCGTGCGTGTCGTGGACGTGCGCTGGGACTCCTAGGCCTCCGCAAACTAGGCGCTGGCGTCTGGGATCACGCGGGCGAGTGCTGCGGGTCTCCTAGGCGTGCGAGGAATAGCAGGCGCGTCGCTGACAGGCGTTGGGTTCTCGCGGGCGGGACTGGTGGCAGCACGGGTGGACAGCGAGCAGGCAGGCGGTACTGGGAGCTCGCGATCGTCGACTGGGCATCGCTGGCAGGGGCTGGGCGATGTGCGACTGCGTGCGGGGCGTGCGGTTGCGCTTCGACTGGACTCGGGCGGCGATGGGCTGGGGAAAATGACCGGAAATATATATATATAAAGGCTCAATCAATTTTACCAAAAAGCCTTCTAATGGATTACCTAAACATCTATTCCGATTAAAGTTGGTGGAGCGTTTAATCGGATCTCCCAAACTCTCGAACAAAGAAATTCTCACGTGTATGTAGATGAGAAATTTCGGCCAACACAACCTTGTAGGAGAGTATGGGACATGTTGTATTTATAGGCTCCATTAGGGACCTTAAGGAGGTGCTAAATATGGGCTTATTCCATTAGGCCTAGGACTCCTAATTCTAATCCAATACTAACTCAATCTAGGAAGGAGATCTCCTACTAATCCATCTCTTCTAGAAGACTCCTAAGTCTCCTAACACTAGAGAAGATCGTTGTAGGAATTTCCTTTTCTAATTAAATTAAAAATCATGGAATAGAATTAAATCCTAATTTAGGAAACCTAATTTTACTCCAATTAA